AACACAAGACAGAACAAGAGGTGGCATTAATAGGGTATTAATTTCATCAACACAAGACAGAACACGAAACAATAGGTATTGAATAGAAGTGTTTGTAGAAAGCCTATTGGTCCATATTTCTTGATGCTTCTATATTGGAGCGGAGTCTTGAGGTGGGTAGAATATAGTTGTGCATTAATTGGCTGTTGATTGCTGGTGTTGACTTCTTGATGTGTAGTGCCTCGCAAACGTCAAGCCGCCTGCTATCGCTGTATCTATCGATGATTTCTGTGTTGTTTACTAGGATTTCTCTGGCGATGGTTTGGTTGTGGGAAGAGATTATATGTTCCTTAATGGAGCCCTGTTGCTTATGCATCGTTAAACGCCTAGAAAGAGATGTTGTTGTCTTGCCTATATACTGGGTTTTTTGGAGCTTACAGTCCCCAAGAGGGCATTTGAAGGCATAGACGACGTTAGTCTCTTTTAAAGCGTTCTGTTTTGTGTCTGCTGAGTTTCTCATGAGTAGGCTGGCCGTTTTTCTGGTTTTATAGTAAATCGTTAGTTGTATCCTCTGATTTTTGTCTGTAGGGATAACGTTTCTATTAACAATATCTTTCAGGACCCTTTCCTCCGTTTTATGAGCTGTGGAAAAGAAGTTCCTGTAAAATAGTCTAATAGGGGGTATAGGTGTTGTGTTAGTTGTCTCTTCAGAGGTTGCATGGCGTTTCACTTTCCTTCTTATGATGTCTTCGACGAAACCATTGGAGAAGCCGTTGTTGACTAGGACCTGCCTTACCCTACAGAGTTCTTCGTCGACTTGCTTCCATTCTGAGCTGTGGCTGAGAGCACGGTCGACATATGCGTTAACAACACTCCTCTTGTACCTGTCTGGGCAGTCGCTGTTGGCATTTAGGCACATTCCTATGTTCGTTTCCTTAGTGTAGACTGCAGTGTGGAAACCTCCGCTCTTTTCCATGACTGTTACATCTAGAAAGGGCAGCTTCCCATCCTTTTCCATCTCGTAAGTGAAACGCAGCACGGAACTCTGCTCAAATGCCTCCTTCAGCTCCTGCAGATGTCTGACATCTGGTACCTGTGTAAAAATGTCGTCAACATACCTGCAGTATATGGCCGGTTTCAAGTTCATGTCGACTAAGACTTTTCGCTCGATGGTACCCATATAGAAGTTTGCAAACAGGACACCTAGGGGAGAACCCATGGCGACCCCATCTACTTGCTTATACATGTGCCCATCCGGGCTCAAGAAGGGTGCCTCTTTAGTACAAGCTTGGAGTAGTTTCCTCAGAATATTTTCTGGTATGTCAAGAGGAGTACAGGCTGGATCACGATATATATATATATATATATATATATATATATATATATATATATAAAGTAAATATACTGTATATGTAAGAGTATACATCATGTACTTAAATATAATATACAGACGAGGCATTTAAGTTCGTCACAAATTGAATGACTTTAGAAACTGTACTTGTAGTCTGGAGCCCAGTGTTAATGTGACGAAGTGCACTAAATTTTGTAACTAGCTCATCAAGACAGTACCCTGCTTAGCTAAATGAATTGTGGGGTTCAGTCCCTGAGCCCATTACGTGCCTCTGTAACCCTTTCCAATACCACGCACAGAATGGGTATGGGATGCATAATAAATGAACTAAACAAACTGATAAAAAGATTGCGATATATAGTAGAGGAAAAGAGAGCATTCGTTGTATACTAGTAATATGAGAGAGAGAGAGAGCAAGAGAATATGGGGGATGGGGTGTGTTCCTTGTGTTTTGGGGGGGAGAGATAGGTGTTTGTGGTGAGCAGAGGGCGCGCGCGTGGGAGTCGGCCTGGTCTATATAACCTCTCCTCACCCAAATTACCTCTCATTCCACACCTCTGCCGTTGTTTACGTCTCACCATCTCCCCTCTATTCTGGTTTCCCCTCTGTAACCGTAGTGACCCGTCACCGCTGTCTGGGCCGCGAAGAGGAGCAAGGTCGCTGGTATCTCGCCCGCCCGCTGGCACCACGACCCCCTCCTCCAGGAGCTGAGATGAAGAGCGCAGCCTTCGGCAGGATTCTTCTTCTTGTGGTTCTCCTTGCTTTCAGCTGTGAGTAACTTGGGTAATTCATATGTATGACGTACAATTAACTCCAGAAGGGGGAGTTTGAGCCAAATGTCATCCCCGTGTGGCGCGCATGATAGGCTGGGTGACTGTATGCCCGATAAAAGACTGTTTTGACTGATGCAGTCAAAGTCTCACCTGTTCCAGTGATAGCCCTCAACTCCTGTAGTGATAGTCCTACCATGCTCCAGGGATAGCCCTACCATGCTCCAGTGATAGCCCTACCATGCTCCAGTGATAGCCTCATCTGTAGCACCGATAGCCCTTCCCTTGCTATTCGTCTGATGAATTTTAGTATTACGTTCAGGATTTTGATATCTGATTTCCCCATTGCGATTAAACACTAAAAGGAGATCATTTTGAAAATTAATCAAAGTGCAAGTCAACTGTTTCCGTGGGTGACTTAGAGGAGTGCGCCCAGTGCTCCCATCAGCATGTAATCAAACCACTGGCTAAATGTTCCTTAATCCCGTTCAGTCATCCTCAATCCTAGTTCATCCAAGCTGTGGCGTGTACCAACTCCCAGAGATATATAATATAATGTTATCATTCTGTGAAACCAAAAACTAAACCTCTTTAAGTTAAATTTAATGAATACTGTAATTTGATATTTAGTTAGGCCTAGGATAGGTTAGGTGACTCTGTTAGTAGTTATTTTTATTTGCAGTATGTTGGTGAAGTATTTAGAACGGTGTGATTCGAACATCAGTTGGGAACATTAAATCGTTTATCATTTATAAACGGGGTTTGACGGCTGGATATACGTCGCATTTTGACACACATCCCCAAATTAGCAAAATATTCAAAATATTACATATATTCTGCGTATAGATAAACCGTGAATTTTTTGTTTAATTGATGTTGTTTCGCTCCTAATATCATTCAACTTTTGAAGAAAAGAGTTGACGATTGAAGAAAATAATACAGATAATCCAAAAATTGTAGTAGTCTTTTTTATATAACTCTTGGACTACAAGACCAGTGACATTATAAACAGATATGTACAGTTCTGTCCACTATTATCTTTAAATGAAATATTTTGAATAAACATCAAAATTTGCTCCATCGACTATTCTCTCGAAGAAAACTGTAAAATAATACTAACATATACAATTTCTTATATGAATAAAAATATACTTGCTTTTGGGAAGTTTAGCCTAGTTATAAATGTCATTAGAGTAATGATAGGAAAAATACAAGAATAATAATAATAATACAGTATTTCAGACAAAGTTATTATTAAACAAATTTAATTATATATTGGAATGCCTATGCACCCCGCTTGCTCTTACAAAAAGAGTGTGTGTGTGCGTGTGTGTATTTACTATTTGTGTCTGCAGAATCGAGCTATTAGTTTTTGGACCCCGCGTTTCTAACCAATCTATTTTTCCTCTATTATATCTATTAGTTAGTTTAGTTCATTTATTATGCACCCCATACCCATCTTGTGGGCGGTAGTGGAAAGGGTTACAGAGGTACATAATGGGCTCAGGGAGTGAACCCCACAATTCATCTTAGCTAAGCAAGTTACAATCTTGATGAGCTAGTTACAAAATTCAGTATAAGTCGTCACATCATAAATGGGTTCGAGACCGACCACAAGTACAATTTCTAAGTTAAGCAACTGACATGTGGAGAGCTAGTGTCACAATTGATACGTTTGTCCTACACACCGCCCCCCATCCAGTGGGCAGCGGTGGATAGGTTACAGTTACTTAGTTACTACCTACAATTAACAAACTGGGAATATTTGGCTAAAATTTCTGGTAGCAGATCATTTTGAATGAAATATTTACACATTGCTGGAACATTGGTTATAGATTTGTTTCTGAATTCATATATCTTTTCGCACTCCATCACATAGTGACGGAGGGTGTGCGAATAATTTAGTTGACATGTTTACATTTGGTCAGCTCTACATCGGCAGATAATGAGAATTCCCAGAGATACTTGTAACCGAGTCTAAGCCGAGCAGTAGTAACATCTAGAAGTCTGCTGATTTTATTGGATGAGCCATAGATGTGTGGCTCCTCTTGCATGATAGTATGATGATAGATGGAATTACTGGTGTCGATTTCACTTTGCCTCAGATCTACAAGATTTTGTTGAAATTCTCGGTGTACTGCTGCTCTCAGATTGCTCGTTGACAATCCAAGGTTACACTCAACGTCTCCTTTAAAGGCAGATAAGATTGAAATTACTGAAGGTTTTGGCCTCCGCCACCTTCTCGCCTAACTTGTTTCAATCGTCTACCACTCTTTTTGCCAAATTGAATTTTCTTATATTTCTCCGGCATCTTTGTTTCGTTAGTTTAAATCTATAACCTCTTGCTCTTGAAGTTCCAGGTCTCAGGAATTTCTCCCTATCAATTTTATCGATTCCTGTCATTACTTTGTGCTTTTTGTGCTTTTTGTATTGTACTTTGTACTTTTTTGTACTTTGTACTTAAAAAAAACTACTTTGTACGTAGTGATCATATCGCCTCTTTTTCTTCTATCTTCTAGTTTTTGCATATTTAATGCCTCTAACCTCTCCTCGAAGCTCTTGTCCTTCAGTTCTGGGAGCCACTTAGTGGCATGTCTTTGCACCTTTTCCAGTTTGATGATGTGCTTCTTAAGTTATGGGCACCATACAACCGCTGCATATTCCAGCTTTGGTATAACAAAAGTCGTGAACAATTTCTTTTGTATTTCTCCATCCATGTATTTAAACGCAGAATTGAAAGTTAGAAAGTGTAGCATAGGCTCCTCGCACAATGTTCTTAATGTGGTCCTCAGGTGACAGTTTTTTTTATCTAGTGTGTGCGCGCGAGTGAGTGAGTGAGTGAGTGAGCGCGTACGTGAGCGCGTGCGCGTAAGCGCTCGTGTGCAAGTCTATCCTTGTAGCATTCCATTAAGGTGCTCACCATTAAGGTGCTCACCATTAAGGTGCTCACCATTAAGGTGGTCACCATTAAGGTGGTCACCATTAAGGTGGTCACAATTAAGGTGCTCACCATTAAGGTGCTCACCATTAAGATGCTCACCATTAAGGTGATGACGGTGGAAGCCGCCAATACAAGTATCAGCAGCTGCTGGCACTAACTCCACCCCACCTGTCTGTCATCCTCGCGCCCTGCTTCCCAAATTTCACGCGTTAAGTTTCGCTTCTAAGAACTGTTGGGAAAGACTTGAAGGGTGAGGCAGCGCGCCTGGTTGTAGCCTCGGTTATTAATTAATTAAAGAAGTATAGCATTATAAATGCTTTGCAAATATAAGAACATAAGGATCAAGTAACTGCAGAAGAATTATTGGCCCATACGAGGCATCTCCTATTTATATACACCCTAACTCACTCAAATATATGTCTAACCTAAGCTTGAAACAATCAAAGAAGCGGTAATTGTTTCCAGAAAACAACCGTTACCAAACCAGTATTAACCAGGTCTTTCCTAAATCTAAACTTATCAAATTTATACCCATTTTTTCGTGTTCAATTATGTGTTGATACTTTTAATACCCTATTAATAGCTACTTTTGTTATGCCCATTCATCTACTTGTACACATCTATCATGTCACCCCTAATTCTTCGCATTTCTAGAGAATGTAAATTAAGCTTTGTCAATCTCTCTTCATATGAAAGATTTCTAATTTGTGGGATTAAATTTTTCATCTTTTGCTGGAAGCGTTCTAGTGAATTTATATCCATTCTATAGTATGGCGACCAAAACTGAACTGCATAATGTAAATGGGGTCTAACGAGAGCAAGATATAGCTGAAGAATAGCACCAGTAATGAGTGTTCTTCCGTGTTTATTTCCCTCTCGATTTTCGCATCGTCGTCAAATTTGCAAATATTGCTATTCAAACCAGAATCTAAATCATCTATATATATTATGAATAACGAAGCGTGACTAAATCACGCTCCCAGGACAGAGCCTTGAGGCTCTTAACATTTTCCCACTCTGACTTAACTCCATTTATACTAACTTATAAATACATTACGACGCAGCTATTGAGAAAAAACTCCCCTGTTCCTGCACGCATATGCAGAACTATTTTTATTAGGCTACTCCTATTTTGAAATTGAAAAACACAGGGTTTCACCTTTTATGAGAGTACTTTATTTTTTGCCCATCCATTGCTTACATATTGATGGGTCAGGAGAGGTTCAGACCACCTGTTTCTAAATCATGTGAGGAATTTTTGTGCGGAAACTTGTAAGGATTTGAGGAATTCCTTGGCAGAAACTAGCAACAATGTGAGGCACTCCCGCGCAGAAGATGAACACTGGAACTAAACACACCTCGGAAACCTTGGCTAAAGGTTAATATTGCCCATATGTAGAAGCCCCAAAGCTCAAGAGGATTTCTGTGTTAATATTTCATGGGTCTGATATACCCCATTATCGGGTACATGAAGCCTAAGTAGATTGTTGTTGTTTAAGATTCAGCTAATGGAAACAAAAAGTTTCAAGTAGCACGAGCTATGGTGAGTCCGTAATGGACTTACCTGACACAGGAGCGGGGCTGTAACTTGTGATCAAGTCTAATCAGGCCTAGGTAGAGTAAACGAGGTGCTGCAAGGCAGGAGAGTGCAGCCGGGCAGGCGGCCACCCATAGGTCACTGGCCCAGCATCTTCCAGCGTAATTTTACATGCAAACTTTGCATTAACTCAAATTCAAATTTAACGAAACTATTTATAAACGAGTGTACATTTATAAATGCCTTTAGTTTACAAAGAATTTTAGTATATTATTAATTTTCGCAAGAAAAATATATGAGCCTAACATGTAATAATTATAGGCATATAATATATAACAATTGGTAAGAGCTATTATAAGAGATGCTCAATGCTTCTCTTGGTTGCCACTCCGTAAAAAATCCACATTTTAGCCAAACCAGAAACGTATGAACACAAGCAAGTTCAAATATGTTTATTGAGACAAGAAAGAAATACATCTGAAAGGGATAGAGTAAATTAGGCTATTTCTACCCCCTTGAACCCAAGCAACCCACCTAAACTATCGAGTCCGATGCATAGAAAACGTAGATATTTGAGTCGTAACTTTTTTCAAGCAGTTGCATTTGTTAGGTTGGTTACCATATCGTAAAAAAACGCGACCTATTAGTTTAGAGGACGGACTGGAAGAATACAGGCCAGACAACAGCAATTCTTACAGACGTATCGAGATTATTGGATACATTATAAAAGATTAGGGTTATCTAGGGCAACGACCGATATTCCCCAGGATGCAACCCTCAATAGTTGTTTAGTTCAATGGCACCAGTTCAATGGCAATAGCTGTAAGAAAACGTGCCTGAAAGTTTCAGTCCGCTCAGGAATCGAATTCGGGACCATGTACAGTAAAGGTTCAGTCAGATATAATATGGATTTTTTGTCCCTGCACTGAATGTGATAATTAACAAATATACTGTATTTATATATATAAAAACCTAGAAGGGTACCACCTCTGGTGCAAGTGTAGGGACCCATAGCCTCATATATATATATTCACAAACCTTCATCCACAAAGTTAATTATAAGTGACTATGGAATTATTACTTTGTTATGTAATAATAATTCTACAGGTGAGGGTCAGCTCAAGCGGCAGGACCTCATACCGTTCCCGCGAGTGGGCAAGAGAACACTGGAGCGAGATGAGAGCGGTCTGCCCGGAGTGGAGGTCGACGACGCACTGGCCCCTTCACCTGTCCTCCTGCAGGACCTGCCGAACACCTTCCAACAAGCTCTGATCAACATTCTGGAGAGGCGTGATGAAAGTAAGTTCAGTATTACACAGAACTCAAAATACAATCGTACCAAACGCACATAGTGGTCCTCGAGCGCTAAATGTTGAAATCATTGTTGGCGCGATCTTTTGATTGTGGCACCGAGTTTGTAGCTAAAGGTTCGAGTTTCCCCATATCTAGATGTATTTCCACGTGGAGTTTGACGGTGCTGTGAACGTCAGGGACGGAGGGAAATGAGGGGATAATTTCACTCACTTTACTGCTCGCCCCAGCGTCAGAAGTGGTGTGATCAGCGGGCACCAGTAGTCCTCTAGACACAGTGGAACCTTTTGCTCCACTATGAGCCAGTGGAAAGTTGATGGATGACAGGAGAGAATTCCTGTTGATGGGCCTGAGGGAGGAGGGTGTTGACGGTGGTCCCATGGTGGTGCCGAAGTCTTTAAAATTTAAGTTTTTCACTGCTACAGGTAAAGTAGAATGATTAGAACATTTATGTTAATTTTCCTGAGATGAGTGCATGATGTTTTACAATACGGTAAGAAAAATAAGTGTTATAAAATTCTTGTTTTTAAAGTATTTAGCCAGATAGTAGCTGGAGGTCAGTGCCAAAATCATCGAGGGGCTATATGGCCAGTATATGACCATGCCATGGTGTTCTCTATTGAACTGTATTAAACCTCCAACCTGACCGTGTTGGGCATGCACCTTGCAGCAATCACGATACAAAGTTGGGTGAAGCTACCCACAAGCACCTGGCCTCCAGCCTAGAACAGACAAATATTCTGTTTCATGGATATAGATTACTGTTAATTAAGACTTGTCTACCTACTTTCTCTCAAACCACTACCTTTCGTGTATATTGTGTAATTCTAATTGCTTTGTCTAAAAAATCACATAGCAGAAAATTAACTCTCTTTACTTTTGTGTTCTGTTTTCAGAATTCCGAAACTACAAGGATTCGGATGATCTGTTGTCTACTGTGTTGAAACTCCCTCACCAGGAGAGCAACCAAGAGCTCCTTCAGCTCCCTCGGCAGGAGAGCAGTCATGGGCTCCATCAGTTACTTCTTCAGGAGATCAGCCAAGGGCTCCGTCAGCACCCTCATCAGATCAGCCAAGAGTCCCGTCAGCTCCCTCGTCGTGAGAGCAGCGAGGGGCTCCATCAGCTGCCACGCCGCGCCTTCACCCACACCACCAACGCTCACAGCGTGAAGCCTCACCAAAACACTGGAATCCGCCAGCTAAGATCACACACTCCCGCAGAGCTCTCCACCTTTAATTATTTACTACGTCGCCTCTTTCCACAACTAGAAATACAAAATCCGGCAGAGGTCGAGGCGTACCAACGAGACCAACTTTACCTGTAGATAGACGAGGCAGTGACTAAATACACCTTTGTTTTGGGTTATATGAGGCAGACTCGATGCTATACTGGCAACAGTTAAGCACAGATCAGTATTCACTATGATAATGCAACAAGATAAATGGGAAGGCCGTTTTTAATGTACTCACTACACGAGGAGGCGTTGTATTCCAGAGTTAACAGCTACTCAACCTGAGCTAATGGTGACGTCTCTTCCTCAGTACATAGTTCTAACAATAATTTTGCTAATATATAGCAACTGTTTGGAATGATAACATTTACAGCACAACTTGCAACAGATCGCAGAGTTGTCTTTCCAAAGAGTACTGTACTAGTCAGTAACAGATGTATACAGATGTGTTGATCACGGATACAGTATTGATGTAATTGCTGATACATGTTCAATAAACTTTAAAATGAATGATAAATGCAGTGTAAATGTTCTCAAGTCCAAATCTGAAGAACTGAGCACACTGTGTGATTATCTCTTATTGCAGGAAAGATCACGCATATGAAGTTTGTATGTTGTCCACTATTTAGTTTGTAAATCAAGCCAATGTTTTTAAATTAAAGACAATTTTAAACAAAATGTATTTCATCCTTCGAAGTGTCATTTTACGCAACCCTTCGGTCTGACTTAATTAGTAAAGTCGAGAATGCATAAAACTTTGCCAGTAGTGCCACAGCAAACAAATATATACAGATTTCAATCTTTCCTCCAAGAACTATGGTACCTATGGTGTCTTGTGTGTCTGATGAATGGCTGATGGAGGTGAACACGAAATCTTTACTTGCAATTGTCGCCTTTAGTGGTGTTTATAATGGTACGTATTGTAGTACATATGGTACGTATACGTACTGTTGTTGTTTGATTTAGCGGCCACGATGGCATCAGTTCCAAACATGCCATGGATGGCATGCTTGGGGGAGCCCCACACGTTCCTCAGAGAGACAAGAATTGGCCCTACCCCACACACAAAACACTGGGTAGACAAACAAAGTTTGTCTACCTAAACACGACTGGTCTTGAGTTTAGGAGGGGACCATCGTGAATCTACCGTTAGGCTACTACTTTATTCGGCTTCCCAGAGTTCACAGAAAGCGTGATGGGGATCATGGGGTCTCCTGTCCCCCGACATAATGAATTATTAGTATTAATTATTGTCATAACAAGCTGGGTAATGTTCTCACAGTCAACTGAAGAGGGAGGCTCATGGGATATCTATATTATCAAAAGTGGCTCATTGAAATAGTATCCAGTTCCCTCCTGCACTGCTTCTAACAAAGAGGCCGCCTCCGCACAACACTCAGACAAACAGGGATCAGTCCTCTGTAACTTTTTCAGGGAATTGGACTCGAACTCTGGAGCGAGCGGGTGAGTAACTGCAATACTGGCTTCCTCAACACTGCCATTCTCTAGGCTAGGCTGAGGCGGGGCCTCTGCATAAATGTCAGCCATAAATGTATCCGAGAGAGCCACCTCCCACTCTCCTTTTGAAGGGGTCCGGTTCTCTGGAAGGACTATTCTTAGACTTACCAGCCATAGACCGTTACAACACATGCAGGGAGCACAACACCGTCCTCTGCGTCCGTCTGTGACAGTACAATATCAGGTTGTATCATAATGGGATAATCTTTCCCAACAACTTGCTCACCAGTCAGATCATTATCCAGGCTCGCATCAACACCTGGAAATCGCAACTGTGTGCTAACACCAATGATACAGAAACCTCGGGTGAACCTAAACTTTAAAGCAAATCTTGTCCTTAGAGATTATCAAAGAAACCAAGTTTACCAGACACTTAGTCAATTTTAAAGCCTCGCAATACATATGCTACAATACAGTTATAACTTCAGAATAATTCCTGTTTAGGACAAAGGTATACTTACGTTTACCAATAGAATATTAATGAAACCTTTAAAAGCCTTCAAAGCATGAAAATATATAGAAAAATATTGTTTAACCATAGCAAGTCTACTGCTATGGTTACTATGGTTACTACTACTACTCATTAGAATCACTTCAGCTTAAAAAAGGCTGTGATAACCTAACACATAATCATTATAATCTAGATGTACATTTAGAAGCTTTATTCGTCGGTGATTTATACAAATCAGTTGTAGCTGCAGGCAACAAGTGTACAGCCATTTTTTTTATTATATATACAAGAGTTCTTACATTCTTGTACAGAGATTTGGTGGAGGCTGACTCCATACACAGTTTCAAGTGTAGATATGATAGAGCCCAGTAGGCTCAGGAATCTGTACACCAGTTGATTGACAGTTGAGAGGCCGGACCAATGAGCCAACCTCAAGCCCCGCAAAGCACAACTAGGTAAATACAACTAGGTGAGTGCTTCCAATTAGAGCAGGGAAACTTACATTGGCAAAATGTACAGTACTGTATATAGTTAGATAGTTAGAATGATAAGAAGGCAGTTTGAAGGATAACTAAAATAAATTAATTATACAATGAAATTATAGAAATTAACACATCCTCATCAAAATCTTACATCAACAGATTCATGGACTAGTTTAGATCAGTCATTGAACGCACAGCTCAACCAAATCTTAGGAAAAGAGCATTTGACTTTAAGAAGAGGTAATTAAATTATTATTCAACTGTACGAGTCTCATGTCCATTCTCATTCGCACTACTGTATACAAGTATGGAGACCTCACTTTCAAAATGACGTACCTGTTTTGAAGAAAGTTCAAAGCAGAACGACAAAAATCTCAGAGCTATTTTTTTTTATATACAAGAGTTCTTACATTCTTGTAAAACCACTAGCACCTATAGCGATTCTGGTAGGTCCTTAATCTCAATATGCCCCCGGAATACGACCCGCCAAATCGTTTAATAACCAGGTACCCATTCACTGCTGGATGAACAGAGGTGACTCAGGGCGAACAAGTCGACTCATATACCAGGGACGCTTGAGGGCCACAGTTCACAAATCTCTGAATATGTTAGATATTAAGTCACTGCACATCTTCTCATGTGTACTCTATATATTTAAAACTCTGAACTGTAATGTCAATCATGACCTTAAAAGCTTCTTAGAAGGTTGTAACAGAACCCATGGGCATCACACACCAGAAACAAATACCTATTTGATATTCCAAGAGTAGGTCTTAGTCAAACTAGAAATGCTCTACAAATCAAAGGACCCAGAATGTGGAATGACCTTCCCAATCATGTCAAAGACTGTATCTCTCTCAACCAGTTTAAGAGAAAAACTAAATACTACCTAGTAAACTCCATGTAACCTACCTTACTCCTAAATGTCAACCCATGTCTTACTGTTTTAAACAATGCTGTTTGTTGACCAACTTGTATAATTGCTATTTTCTGCCATGTTCCCCCCTTTTTATTTGTTATTTTTTTCAACACAATTTATACTTTAAGCTCAATTACTATTAAGTTTTAGTCTAAGTGTCCCCCCCTCTCACCTTGCCCGAAACGCTATGCGTACTAGTGGCGTTTAGGTATTGTATGTACTGTACTAGCTCATCTTAAAATCCAACATTATGTTTGTAACTCATCTTCAATGTATTTACCTTTAACTGAATAAAAAATCTAATCTAATCTAATTTAGAAGTCTGCTGATTCTACTGAATGATCCATAGATGTGTGGCTCCTCTTGTATGATAGTATGATGATAGATGGAATTACTGGTGTCGATTTCACTTTGCCTCAGATTTACAAGATTTTGTTGAAGTTCTTGGTGTACTAGTGCTCTCAGACTGCTTATTGACAAGCTAAGGTTATACTTAATTTCTCCTTTAAAGGCAGATTCTTTGGCTAATTCGTCAGCTCTTATCATGCATTCGGAGGCCAACATGAGATGAAGTTCACATGAAATGGACTCTAATTACCATCATTAACATTTTTTTGTATTTGTGTCTAGCTTCAGACACAAGCATATTACAGTTATGTCCTAAAGAATTGAGAGCAATTAAGGATAATAAAGAGTCACTTACAATTAATGTATCAAGTTTGGAGACTTGTACACATTTCAGTGTAAGAAGCAAGGCAAATAGTTCGGTCTGAAGGGTAGAGGCCCAGTTGTTTATACGGACTCCCCACTCAAAGTATAAGCCTCGCCCATTGTCAGGACAACTGCACTTCCAGCTGCACCCGTGGGGCGGTGTAGGGAACCATGCAGTGTATATGATTTGAGAGAGAGAATGCTCTGTGGACATAGCATCAATTTGGCTTCAGCTGCAGCATTTATTACATCATACAGACATATAACTTCCTCATGCTGTTGCTGTGTAGCCACTGTCAGGTTGCTATCATTTTCAGCTAGTATATTGCACTATACAGATTTCGAGGGTCCCGGGAGACATCTCCCGTCATGCAGGATGCAGTCGCACCTCCACAGATCTCCAATATCAGCTCTTGATACTGGTAATGGCTCAAAAGGGCCACCACTTACGGGCTATTCATGCCCGTGCCACCTTTTGGGTAGCTTAATCTTCATCAATCAATCAATCAATCAATCAGTCTTATTATTCTGAAAGTTAGATGGTCCCCTGGAAGATGGAATTTCCCCCTTCAGTTGTGTCTTCTGGTCCCCATGGTTTATTGATCCCAATAAAGTCGGGATTCTCAACCTTAGTGTATCTATATAATGCGCCTATAAACTATTTACTAACTTGTAAGTGGAAATGAGAGCGATGAGTGAGAAGGAGCGCACGTTGAGGCCGGCCATTGGCCGGGGTGTGGCGGGGCGGCCAATGGTGGCCGGGCCGTCACACGCCGCCACCCGCCGCCACACTCACACACTCGCACCTGCATATATACAATATGCATGATAAAGTCGTTGCTGTAAGTCCTCCTCTCGTCTGTGTTGCAAGCAGATATTCTTGGCCGTGCGTGTTTATACAGATATATAAGATCTAATGTGTATTCTTGGAGAAAAAGAGGTGTTTAGTGATGATGTTGAACACTTGGGCTGACCAGATGGTGGAAGATTGTGCATATGAGGACGAGTCGCCCCATGCTTAGGTTCTTTCTTATTTAATGGGGCTTTTTTTCTAGACTTGATTGAAGGACGCTATGGTTGTTGGGTTAAGACTGTGGTATATATATAAGGGTAGAACAAAATCACGACCCAATATGTTTCTGCTGCTGTGCAGTTTTTGGTTCTGAAAATTTGTTTTTAAATGTCTTGTGTAATTGTAATTTTAACGTATAATATCAATGTCTTAAACGAGGAGTTATTAGGTAGTTGATTAATTCATCAATCTGCTATTGTGTGATGGTTTCTACAAAGATAGTGCTCAATACTGTAATGCTCTGTATGTAGACATATGGAGGTGAACATCTTGTGATCACCAGTGAGATGCCTCATAGTTGGTGGGGTGAATGACTTATTCAGTGAGGTTAAACATGTGGATCTCCCCACGAGTCAGGACGAGTGGACATGTGGACAGCCTCCTTGACTAAGGGACATCATGAGCCTAACTGGCCATCTAGCCCACCAGGCTTCCTGTCCCTACCAATGGTACGGTATACCATTATATTATAGCTTAGTTGGTGCGGACGTGGCCAGATTGTACACAGGTGCTTCATAAACTTTTTTATTATTATTATTGTTAAAGTAATATAGTTGTTAGGTTGGGTTTAAAATCTGTGACCTGTTTGGGTATGAAGTGAGAGGTGTCCCAGGTAACTATGTATTTACAAGTTGGCATACATCAACTTGTTCCACTTTTTGAGTCGACTATAAGCATATTTATTGTGCAATAATAATAATAGTAAAGACTAAGTGCAACAAGATGGTGTGTGCAAGCTTGCGAGTGTGGTAATTAATTTTACTAAACATCCCGTTGCCTAAGGATTAACTAGTGTACAGTAGATAGGTTAGGCATGGATTTAAAGACATGGTGCCTTTTTTCAAACTATACTGTACTTGAATTGACAATTACTGTCCTTCACCAAAAAAAAGTCACTCATCCAGGCTTGGGCAGCCAATTGGAAGGACATTTCTGGAGTAGATAGTACTGTTGGTGCGTTCTGGTTGAGAATTCCGGGTTCAAATCCCTCACTTAATTTTTTTTACATGTTTACAAGCATTATACCATATTCCCTTTCAGTTCCACCACAATTGGTATAGAGGCCTTGACTGTAGCACATTCATTGGCCCCGTTATGTCCAATTTTTACTCGAGCTCTATAAAAAAATACAAAAAATTAGTACCAGATCACATCCCTATACATGTGAACACATTTATTTTCATTTTGTATTGATGCCATACAAGTGTATTAGGGATTCTGTAATGTGCCTATACTGTATATTGTTTCAGACCATGGAGGAAAATCCTCCAAAGGTGAATAAATGGGATGGAAATGCTCTTAAAAATGCGCTTGATGATGCAGTAAAGGACGTAAGTACTGTATTAAATTGTCAGCCACTGGAAACCTAATGATAATACAGTATAATGAAATTTGTTTATACAGTTTTGAATACAGTATTTTAATTTTAATTTTCCTGAATTGTGTAGCTGAAACATAACTTCCGGTATTTACTTTTTAGGTGTTGCTATCACGGTTCAGTTATGTAGAAAGCCACAAGCTGCTTGACGGTCGGCTTATCATATCATCTGTGGCAGTGGGATTCTCAGTTTTTGCTCTTATTTGGGATTTACTTTATCCATTCCCACAGTCCAGGTAAGAATTCCACAACAATTTCATAATAAGATAAATTGTTTAAAATTTGGTCCATGATCTTAGTCTAGATGCCTAAATGCAAGTTTCCACATTGTGATATTCATCCTGATCCTCTGGCTGTCACAAAACTTTTGCACTTCAAAACTAATGATTTTCAAATCTTTTTTTTGTATATAACTAAGGTAATTATTGTAACTTGTGACATGCTGTGTAATTACTTCAGTGTAGTTACAGGATGAGAGCTACACTCGTGGTGTCCCGTGTTTCTAGTAATGTCGTATAATCCTTCGAAACGACTGTACTGACAGTTTTTGCCTCCTCCGCCTTCTCATTTAACTTGTTGCAACCATCTACCACTGTTTAAAAAAGAAAACTTTCTAATATTTTTTCAGCGCCTTTGTTTCCTTAGCTTGAATCTGTCTTCTTGTTCTTGAAGTTGCTAGTTTCAGGAATTCCCCTTTCTATTTGGTAGATTCCTGTTAATATTTTGTATGTGATCATATCACCTCGTTTTCTAATCTTCTAGTTTTGGCATGTTTAACGCCTTAGTCTCTCCTCAACTTAATAAGGAATATTTTTTTGTTTACTCAGTATTTGGCAACAAAATTTTTCACAAATGGGTACAGTAATAGACAACTTCAGACTCCTACTAGCTATCTTGTAGTCACTTAGCTCATGCTAAATTAAATAAACCCTTCTAATTTTTCCTAAACTTGACCTGCCTTACCTTTTGCTTGTAATGAAAATAGTGACAATAAATCCTTTGATTTGGCTTCTTGGTTGAATTTGATATTAGAAATATCTCTTAACATTTATAGTATCGAGTTACTTGGATCATATTTTATTACAATATGGATGCAAATCTAAAGCAATTTTCCCGAGTTATTTACATTGATTACCATACCAGTAATTTTCATCCCCGAAACCCAGCTCATGATCCCTGTTACGTTCTCCATTCTTTCTTGGTTCATTTTTTCCTCTCCATATTCCCCTAATACTGCCTAAAGCTGAAGCAAGGGGGGATATAACGTATGTTCAGAAAACATATCTTACCGCTTTCTACCACAATTCTTAGACGAGATATCTTGATTTCTCATCAACCTCGGAAAATAAACTTTTTCCAGGAACTATTCTAGCATACCTTCCATGATTTGCTCGTGTGAAGTAATTCCTAATGCAGCCCCTTATCTACTTCTTGAAAACCCTCCAACACTGCATTCTCCTACCATGTCATCCATGGTTACATCAAAGACATTTATTATTTACTGAAACTATTGCCTGTTACTGAAGGTTGGTGTCAGTAACCCAAACTTTGGATTAAAATTCTGCATGACCCGGGTGCATAGCTTTATTTCCCCTAATTATTATTATTTTTGTAATTAGTCTGAAATATTGGAGGGTTTACAACAAACTTTACAGAACCAAAAGGTGCTAAATGTGTAATTGTTTCTTTGACCAAGCTATGGTCAAGGAAGCTTGGCCTTGGGTTGAAAATGTAATAAAGCCCTTGAAAGCAGCCACTCACTGTCTGTGTTTGTCTTTGTTATTCTTGCTGGCAAAAAAAAATATGCTGATTGTAGAATTTCCTCAGATGTTATTCACTAGAAATGATTGTATGAACTTTCAGAACTGTGATGTGTGTGTGTGTGGTATCCTACTTCATCATGATGGGAGTTCTTACTTGGTATACTACCTACTTGGAGTGTGGAATCTTCTGCACAGCCCTTAATAAAGATGCTGCTGGGATTGACCCAGATGATGTGTGGAATGCTTCCTCTTCTCTTAAGAGGCAAGTATGAGTTTACCTTTAAAATGGAACAGTATAATATATTCTCAGTGTATACTATATCATTTTGCTTAGATGGAATTCAGTAGCATGGTTGTTTATATCAACTTAATTACATTACCATTCATGCCTTTTGTACATTGGTGTTCCAGCCCTTCCTCTCGACTAATACGATGTTGTGGTAACCAACATATCAGATTTAACATACAATGACAAGTAGGCTCACAGAAATCCATATATTCTATGCATAAGTCGGTTGCTTGGGTTTGTACATTCTGGTTAAGTTAGAACATTGAATTTTGTTTTGATATTCTTATTGTTGCTAATAGTATGAATACTTTGATTCTAAAAAAAATATACTTGGTATATATACTGTAAATACATTATATTTTTTTTATTGGTACACAGTACTGTACAAGCAATCCATTTGCCTTTGGCAATTAATATATTACTTTAAGTGTTGCAAGATCAGTTTATTTGGCTACCCTATATTTGTCTTAACATGGTATCCACTTTAAATTACCAGTATTTCTTAAAGGCTAGAAATCACCCAGTGTGCTTCATTACATTTGGTTATGTTTTAAGTTTTCATTTATATCTGGACAGGGAGCCATGTTTCACAGTTACCACTGTCTTTGTTCTTATTAGATTTTGTTCATTGTTAATGATAGATATTAACTGAAGTGCATTAGCGAGGTGTCCTTTAACCCCCTTGTGCCCTTGTGTGGTGACCTCGACCATTCTCGGTAAGATTGTTGTTCCCATGTTCATTGCATCAAGTGCAGCAATGCTAATCCTGTCTTTTCCCAATTTTGTATTAAACCATAAATTTGAAGCCATCTTCAACCTGAAACATAGGTTATATATAATGATTTAGATTTGATAGAGCCCATAGGATTCAGAATCTGTACACCAGCTGGTTGACAGTCAAGAGGCGGGACCAAAGAGCCAAAGCTCAACCCCTGAAAGCCCAAGAAGGCGAGTACAGTATCTTTCCCAGATTTTAGACACCAGGTTTGATGTCTCCTCCTTTTCTGACATGACTTGCATATTTAGGGAAAACAGTAGTAAAGGCACAAGTTATAAACGCATTGGGATGTTCACATTCTTAGAGATAAATTAAATATTACACTTCATTATTAATCTTTTGCAATTAACATTGTAATTTAGTGTCAAGCTAGTACACATATAACATAAGGTGGTTTAAATATAAAATACTTGTGGTTAACCCTTACACTGCTCAGGGGTCCTTGGGACATTTACACCCCTGTGCGCAAGAAAAAAAAAATTCAAAAAAACTTTTTCGTCTTCTAAACATGTTAATTTGTGTCCCCTGAGCACGGAAAAAAAAAAAAAATCGTAGGTGACATATTTTGGGCGCAATTGACCGAGGAAGTCTGGCAAAAAGTGGGCGTTGACAGAGCGGTCGTCAGACCCGGTCAGCGTCACCCGCGTTGACAGATGGGAGTTGCCACAAAGATATTATTACCTAATTGTTTCAATGTCTCCGATTGATTTTTTCTAAGTTTTTTTGCAGTAATATTATTCAATAGTGTGTATTGTAATATATTTATATAATAATAGTGGTTAATAATCGCTATACTCAAAAGTATGATGTGCATATTAGTGATTCAATTATTATGTTTATAAAACAATGAACAAATAGTTTTGCTGCTATTACACTCTATACACAGGTTATATATAAGTATTGGCATGTTTTGGTCACCACACCGAACCACTAAGTTGGTATTGAGAGTCGAAAAGCAACGAGGAGTTACTGCCACACACCAGCCAGCCACTTGCTGCCACTCCCTCAACACACGCACTAAACTTTCTCCCCCAACAATACCATTTGTGGTGTTATTACACTATATACAGACGTTATATATAAGTATGTGTATATTTTGTTCACCACAACTGTACAGCTAAGCTGATATAGTTAGTTCAGGCACTAAGAGTCGTCGCTATACACAGATGGCGGCTCCCTCACTCATTCAAGTTCACACGCACTAAACTTTCTCCCCCAACAATACCAGTTGTGGTGTTATTACACTATATACAGACGTTATATATAAGTGTGTGTATATTTTGTGCACAACAACTGTACAGCCAAGCTGATATAGTTAGTTCAGGCACTAAGAGTCGTCGCTATACACAAATGGCGGCTGGCGGCTCCCTCACTCTTTCAAGGTCACACGCACTAAACTTTCTCCCCCAACAATACCTTTTGCAGTGTTATTACCCTATATACACATATTATATATAAATATCTACATGTTTTTTGCACCGTAACTGTACACCTAAGCTTGTAGTGCGCCCAAAGAGCATAGTAGCCACCCTCTAAACAGCTAGACAAATCGTGCAGACGACGTCACCTCCGTCACCCATATGGCTCCTCCCAGCATAATCCTTTTGCTGTTATTACACTAATACACACATTATATATAAGTATCTACATTTGTGTTCACCATAGAGAACCACTGACCTGGCATGGTGAATGCAAACAATAACAGGTGGCCACACAGTTAGTAAACGATGCTATCTCCCTCCGTCTCTCAGCATCACTCCTCCCACAGCGCTAATTATTACAACAATCTTGCTATTATCACAACCCTGGTTATTTATATCACAGTCATTGGTCATCTGTAATATTGTCATCGCTAAATAATAACAATTATATATTTATTTTGACATTTTTCGGCGATGCTGTGGTCACAAGCTGAACATCAATGCTGTTCGCTCATGCTGCGTGCGCCGGCCTTGGTTGCTCCAACAGCACTGTGCCTCTCACACCTGAGAATATTGCCCACGATTTTTTTTCAAAATGGCATCTGTTTACAAGAGCCCTGAGGAAGCTACTGTGAACCCTGTGTAGCCGCGGGCCATTTGAATCAGGCCTGGCACCCTATGGCGTATATATACGCCATGCGCACCATGGGACATGTTACTCAGGGCGTATATATACGCCATGCGCAGTTTAAGGGTTAAATATTATTGATTTAGATGTCCTTGACTAAAAAAATTTGAGATACGAACACCGCCAATTTTTAAATTGTACACTAATGGTTTATCGGTGAATTATTATTGTATACCATTTCAGATTTGACAACAACTACCACCTGCGTCTGACACAGAAGGCTGGTAAGACAGGGCGAGCGAAGGAGGCCCGGACTGTTCTCACTGTAGAGAACTTTTTCGATGAGACTGGCAGGCTCTTGTATGGATCTGTGGCAAAGGAAGTTCTACGTCTACATTCTGATGTAGAGCATAAGAAAAACTAGAATTTCTTAATTATTTAAGTTTGTTGCAGGAAGGATTGGTTAAAATGTTTTCGTAAGCACATTACTTTAATATTTCCTGCTAAATTTTTACCAAATGTTTGGAAGGTCACATCCTTCAATGGTTGACAACCGGACACAGTTGTCATAAATGTCATTTTGATGTAACATTCCCAGTGAGTACAATATCAGAGTAATATTAATTCAATGTTGAACAAAAGTTATCAGCCTTAATTTATGAGTAATAAACATTATCAATATTGAATAATTATCACCATTAATTCAGTGTTGAGTAAATGTTACACTTGGATATTGTGCCCACTGGGTTCAGGCTTCCATGAAGCTGATCATGGTGTTGGTGTTAATTCTTTTTGATAAATGTATGTACAAATATGAAGGGACATTTACACTTGACATTTAATTTAAATTAGGTAATTATACATGTAAGATTCATGTGTATTTGGTTGTATTATTGCCTATTATCAGATAATTAAGTTAAAACTGTTATGCTGTCAGTCTTTGATCCAAAGTTAATTTGTATTGATACATTCTCTGATGTCATTTCTATATTGGCTATTGATTTATCAAACTGTTTTTACAAGGAATTTTTGTTAGCTACCAAGTAAAGTGGACATGCTTATGTAACTAGTATTAGTGCAATTTCTAAAGGTAGATGTCCATTGACATTGGGATTTGTTTTATTAATATACATGAAATGAACTTTTACCATCTTGACGTGTCTGAATAAAAATCATGATTATATTTTGTTTTTTATGCTTGTCTGCTAGAACATTATAGGTGTTTCCTTTATGGCAATCTTCTTGCATTTGTGCTATTCATATGAAAACTCCATATAATTACAGTAATATAGTTAAAGAATTTACTTAATTATGCATTCTTAAATAATTTTTGTACTGGAGTTTTGACATTGGCAGAGGTTACTTTACATTCCTATTGGTCTAGTAGTAAATATTTAATGGAGAAACTGAAAAATTACTCAGTCTATACACAATAAACATTTTTTAAAAATTATTTTTAATTTACCATAAAAATTAGGTAACATTTTTAATGGTAACAAGGGTTCTGGTAAGTCAGGTTTGTTCTCTGCACAATCTACAATTGCAGGTTCAAATCCCAGGTGGGACAGAAATGGTTGGGCACAGTTCCTTTCACAGAGCAGTAAATACGTACTGTACTCGGGAGTTAGTCAGCTTGGGGAAACTTGAAATCCTAACGTGTATGAATACACCCTGGCTTCCTATCTCCAGACACAAGTATTATCAGAGTTCAAAACCAAAGATCTCTTGCTTCTATCCTTCAAATACCCTATCCACTCTTGTCCCATTCACCTGACCAAATAAACCCCCACCCACCCAGGACTACAGATGTGTTTGGCCCATTTCTGCATTTATTGTGTGTCCTCCGAAATTGTGCAAGATGTCAACTTAAGATCCCGCCTCTTGCCCTAAAATTTAATATGATTTAGCATTGAAGCATATTTTATACATTACACACCAGTGCCAGCTAGTTATGCCCTGAAATTGACTATGGTATTTTTAAAGATAATGGCATGATTTCAACAATTGTGGCTTTTTGTGATTGTAGAGGGTTAAGGAAGCATTTTTATATCTAAAAGAAATTTTCACTGATTAGCCAACAGTAAAATTGTTTTCTCTACCTTGGTTGGTTCAATTTTATAAATCTACAATTTAAATTCTATAATGACAAAATTTATTATTAATTACCATGGACTTGGGCAAAAAGATTTAACATGGTTCTTGCCTTGAACCCTATGACTTAGGTGGAAAAACTAGCTAACTAGATTTGAGTAGTCACTGCTGTGGAGACTTAAAATTCAAATGTGGACTTCAAGGATAGTTGAGTGAATAATTGTTACTAATTTACTATGTCATCGTTAACAATGTGTGTATTTTAACTGCAGTATCAATATATGGCAGACATTAAGTGGCCCTTCAATAGCTATGATTGAAAACATCCGAGGAGTTTTAGCTTAAATTTTGGTCACTAGGCATTTGCTGTATTTGAAACTCTTCCATTTGCTTATGCTGTGACTTAATAAAAATAGCATAACATTAACCTTTATAGGTTTAATATAATTATAATTCTCTACATCCAATTGTACTTGTAGGGTACATGCCAATCAATTAATGATTCTGTACACTCTTGCACTTTAATCCTTTACAACCAGTGCTCCGAGTAAAACCACAAGGGCAAGGTGGTTTGTGATTAGGTGTCCACTCTCCCAAGCTCTCATTGGCATAAAAGTCCATTGGGTAATGTTGAGCATGCCATTCAGCATGTCTGAGAGCCACAGTTGCTTCATATGGGTTTAATAATGGCCGAGGGAAAGAAGCACCCCAGTCGATAGAAAGACGTGGGCATGCCACTTGCACCCATGTTTCAATATCGCCCATGGCTGCTAGCTTTGCTGGGAATATCTCGGACAGAAGAACAACTACGAAGTCTTTCCCTGCCGTTTTCAACTGCTTCTGAAAAATAAAAATATATTTGTATATAAAATGTATATAAATCTGTAATATGGTTATTTAATTTTTTTTTAATCCAGCTCTTAATTTTTGTGGTATTTAATGAAGTACTTTTTTGATGGGTTTTCAGTAGCTAAGAGCTGGCCCAGTAATGCGTAAAAGGTGCCAGTACCAGAATCTGACTTATGAGGTGAGGGAACCTCGGGGAATAGAGAGCGACTCAAATTTAACCCTTGGGCAGCAGCTATGGAAAAATGGTCATACCTGCCTATGTGCAAAAATTAAAATTCCAAAAAATAATCTTTTATTATAGAATTATTAATTTGTATTCATAAAGTAAGAAAAACCTGAGAATAAGTGAATATTTATCACTTTATTGGGTGGTGTCTGTCAACGCACTTGACTTTGATGACACTTTGTGTTATCCTCCGTTGCTGCATCACTTGTTTCTCTTTATTTACAAGAGTATGTGCGTTGAATAACTTGATAAATCACATAATTCACATAACACATTGTAATGTTTCAATTGATGGTTGGTTTACCTGTTATACCTGTCCACTGCAAGCATATAAAGTTGTGAAAAAGATATGAACATAATATGCAGTGGTGTTGGACTCTGGGCAATGACATAAGGCCTAATTGGCACCATATGGGCGAGAGTATAGATTGAAACAAAAGCGTAAGCCACCAATGTGGCTTAAATTACACCTCCGTGCCCGAATCGGAATGAGCAGCCCCCCAAAGCCACCCGAGCCTCATCCCAAGCTAAACCTCGCTCCGACCCCGAAATCCTCAGATGTTCGGGAACTGGGGAAACCATGCTCACCTTGGAAGAAAGCAAGTACGGGTATGGTGAATTTGCCCTATGGGAAGGCCAGGCACTGGGATTAGCTAAGCCTGTAGAACCTTGTCAGATAGCAGGCAAACTGACCACCAGTAGCAGCTATGAAACCTCAGGAGCAACAGTGAAGAACCTCTGGAGGACCAACACAACCTACGCTTATCTAATAAGAGGCTAAGCAGACCTCCTCTGTACCTACACAGTAAAATAACAACATACTGGAGTGAACAATGTGGAAGAAAATGCAGAATAGCACCAGTGCAGAGCAGGGGTGCCATAGGCACAATCCGAGAACACTGTATAAACATCAGAGGTCCACGGTTGTTCAACGTCCTCCCAGCAAGCATAAGAAATATTGCTGGAACAACCGTGGACATCTTCAAGAGAAAACTAGATCATTTTCTCCAAGGAGTGCCGGACCAAACGGGCTGTGGTGGATATGTGGGCCTGCGGGCCACTGCAAGCAACAGCCTGGTGGACCAAACTCTCACAAGTCAAGCTTGGCCTCGGGCTGGGCTCGGGGAGTAGAAGAACTCCCAGAACCCCATCAACCAGGTAACCCTAGGGGCATGCTGCTTTTGTATAATAAGACACCTGGCCACCACATCACACATACAGCTGGAACATCCATACAGGGCAAAAATCCAAAACAGGAACTTGAGGCCAGAGGTGATTGATTCGACCACCAGCACATTAGTTCAAGAACTGGAGTGGTTGACTGCCGGCTTCCCCTTCCCTACTATGGGGGGGCAGCATTAACGAGCGCAAGTGATAGTGGCATGAAGTGTTGCTTGTTGGGTTTCTTTCTAGGATAGTTATTTTTTATCTTTTTGGATGTAGATTGCACAGGTTAACCAGACTGGTCTATTTTGATTCGCCTACCTTTCTGGGTCCTTCCCCGGTCGATGGCAATTATGACATACTTTAAATGTAAAGTGCTCATAGGCCATTGCTCCCTGCACCTCTCTGAGAGGACCAGGTTCTGGCTCATGGTTCTCGGTAGGAATAAGGACTCCTGTGACTGATGACCCTAATATAGTACGTATCAGTTCGGAGAGCTTCAGGAAGCAAACGGGGCTCCCCACAGAAAATAAAGACCTCTGAGCAGAGCCATACTCCACACCAGAAACCATAAACATAAAAGCATCTAACCTGAGGGTAGGTTCCAAGCCCCAAATTTTGCTTCTTTGAGAAAAGAAGCATAACCCCAGTAGGAAGCATCAGCTCAACCACCTCCATTACCAAAGTGGAATAGGCAAACCACCTGAAACAGCCTGGGCCCCCAAGGAAAAACCAAGGGGAAATGAATGCTTGGTGAACAAAAACTAGATGGGTCAGGAGAAAGAGAGACAGTAGGGGCAAGCTTGGAACAAGATGAAAACACCAACTATCCCAATTATGAATAAAAAACACAATGGGGCCAAATTTAGGGAATTGACAAAGCCAGAAACAATGAATCAGGGTTTTGACTTTTGGTCTCTGGTAGGCTATTAATGACTTGCAAGAGCATGATGTGATTCGATAGGTTTGGAGCTATTCAAAATGGCTAGCAACAGATTGCCATCTTCCAGCCTTACCAGAAAATGCAGTCCTAACTACGTCAAAAATAATTCTCGCCAGAAAACACGGCAAAGCACCTTCAGATATACATGTTCTTGGGGATATAAACCACACAAAGTTTAGGCTGACCAAGGCACTCCGGTCCTTGACAAGACAGGTGAGACTTCCCAGGTACCAGCCGGAGATAGCAGTACAGACACAACAGGGAAGAGGGAGGCCATCCTGGTATACCAGACCAGTCCCAACCAAAGAAGAACTTGAGAAGGCACCAATGGGACTTACATCAATTGACCTAGAAAAGAACCAGATCATTGGTCAGTAGACAAGGCTTGCAGATGTACAATGTGACATGAAACACAATCATTATGGAGAAAGGAAGCAATAACATGGCAATGGCCCCTGGTGAAACTAATGTTCCAGGGATAGTTAACACCACTTGGCTAAAGTGTAAAGCAAAGAATGAGCCCCATCAGAGTCAGAGGTCCCATGCCCCTGATGTGACCAGGGGCCAGACTCACGAAGCCGAGCAGTTACGCAAGTACAGTACATACTTACAAACCTGTACATCTTTTCTCAATCTTTTGCAGCTTTATTTACAATTATTAAACAGTTAATGAGCTCCAAAACACCAAGAGGCTGTTTATAACAACAACAACAGTTAATTGGGAAGTTTTCATGCTTGAAAACTGTTTAATAAATGTAACCAAAGCCGTCAAAGATTGAGGAAAGATGTACACGTTGGTAAGTACTTGCCTAACTGCTTTGTGAATCTGGCCTCAGGGAAGTGAGTGAAGGCTCAGGCTAGCCGAGACCCAGGATGACCTAGGTCGACATACACGTCGTGGTTAGGGTATTTATCCTGAAGTAATGATCATTAGCCTTGTTGCCTTCAAGTATGTAATTTTATTCAAGCAGTTGCATGTTTTGTTGTACTTGTACTTTCTGTTGGCTTTTCCTTAGTTTTGGGGTGATCTCTGATCCCCAAACTCCCTTCACTTTTGGATAGGGAGGGGGGGAGGGGGAGAGAGAAGACAAACTCTGGTCCTGGTTCTCAGTAGGCAAGGGTGGGTCTTGGAGGCATCTCCCTGGCTTGACTGGACCAGCTACTTAGCTCAGGAAGCTACTGTGAGAGCCTCCCAGAAAACAATAAATGAGAAATGGTTATGACTTTACCTGAAGGTTTTCAAGAACTTTGGTGTTACCCTGTCTGCCAAGAGTTCCTAATATTAATCCCCATTTTTTAGCCTTGCTTGCTATATCAATGGCATCTTTACGAATTTTCTTCATCAGTGGTTGATCATAATATTCTCTGGACAGAACCTTGGAGTAAGGATTGTACCTGTTGATAAAACAAAATAATGTAAAATATCTATATTTCACAAAAAATATCTCAGTACTTTAACCATATATTTTGATAAAAGACAGTCAAAAGAGAGATTCTCAGATCATCCTTATCTTGGCATTCAAAATGTTGTAAAGCATTAAGTATAATGAAATGCACCTCTCTGGGCAGCAAATTTGTAGCTTCCCTAGCTGTATGTCACTGGCATGGCAAGAGCACTGAACATGCCAAGCTCTTGTTGAGTACTTCAAACCCCTAAAAATTTGTATTTGCCACTTGATGGTATGGGCGTCACATAGGAATCAGAGCTCAATGCCCCAGTGAAGTGAACCACCTGCTATAACACCAAGAGCTCTTTTAAAATACTCAACTTCCCTCTAAAGAACACTTGGTAACACTGAATCACCTAGGTATCAGGCACAATGTAAGATAATTATGAGGAGAGAGCATTAGTCATCATGACTACATAGAGTATCATACATAAGTCAACCAGCAGTATACCACATGGTGCCCCTGAAGACACAGATCTGGAAGGAATCTTGCAGATAAGGTTCTGGTATATTGCTAATAGTCTCAGGTCCTTACATTGGAAGAGATCAATGCTGTCAGGTACGTAAGTAGTCAGAAATTGTGGCTTACATATCTTCCCAACAAATTTATATTCTAGGAAATTTAGTGACAAGCCTTAGAACAGGGCAGTGTAGTACAACAATTTAAAAACGAGCAATAGAAGATAGAAGGGGAAGTTACCATGGTGCTTAAGAAGAGTAGTAACAAGAGCCAAACAAAAAGAAAATTAGTTAGAATCGCGATGGATATAAAAAAAGATTTCCTAGCAAAATATAAAAGTAGTATCCATGTGTCTGTTCTTGCTACCAAGTTTTGTATGCCTAAATCTACGACCTCTTAAGATACTAAAAAATAGAGAAGCCATCAAGGGCGCTTATAGTAAAGTGTTAAAAACCAGTCCTGGGCGGTTTGTAAAATTTAACAGAAATGGAATTCATAGTGTGGTGAGGCTGCTAGTTCTAACAAAAACCCTACCACATATGCCATCAACTCTCCTAAGTACAGTACAGGTAAAGTGAGAATATATTTGTATTATTTCATCTATTTATTGTGTTTACATGTGTATTGTTTGTGGTCTGGAACAGATTAATCCTGTTTACATTATTCCTTATGGGAAAAAGATTTGGTACTTAAACAGATCAACACTCGAATGACCCTCTGGAAAGAATTAACTTTGAGTACTGAGGTTCCACTGTATATAATGTTTGATCATCCAACATATTAAGTCCCTGAAAAATAAAGATGTGCTACGGCAGCCATCTTGGAAAATGGCAGCAAAAGACACGTTTTTTGCACTTATCATGGAAACCATCCATGTTATTAACAATATTTTGAAACCAAAAAAATACAATAATTTGTTTTGTCGAGGACAGGCAGCCTGTGTACATATATACAATACATTAGGCTTATATTGAGGTCCCCTAAGGTAAAACTATTGACCCTCTCCAAGATGTAACCCCACAACAGCTGACTAACTCTCAGGTACCTATTTACTGCTAGGTGAACAGGGGAATAAGGTGAAACTTGCCCAACATTTTCTGCCCCATTCAGGATGTAAAGGCAAAATATACTTTCTGTTCGATGGTACCCATGTAAAAATCAGCATAAAGGACACCAAGAAGAATCCATAGTGATGCCATCTACTAGTTTATACATGCACCCATCAAGATTCAAGAAGGGTACCTCTTTGGTACATGCTTTGGGTAGTTTCCTAAGCATGCCTTCTGGGATGTCAAGGAGGGTAGAAATTGGATACCAATAAACTCTGCCCATCATCATTCCAATAGTCTCATCCACAGACACACTCGTGAAGTGATTCAACTTCAAGAGACGCTCTCAATCCTGACTGGGGCAACTGCCCCAATAAGTCAACAAATTCTTTTGGAGACTTAAGGCTGAAGGCATGTGGCATGTAAAGTGTTAGCTGAGAGTTGAGTCACTAGACTTAGGTATCTGATATTGAGCACAAAACAGAAGAGAGAGCCCTGAAAAACATTACTGATACAAATATGTCCCCTACCGACATCAACAAGAAGACTGAAGTAATAATATACTAATGTATAAGAGCAATGAGACTGCCAACTTGCTCATGAAAAGCTCTACTGACACCAAACAAAACCCCTTGAAAGGCACCTAACACAGCACAAACAGCAAGGGGACTATCAAGGAACAGTCTCTACACATAACCAGATATTATATACTGTACTTGATATACTGATTGAATGGGATCAAAATAAGTCAAATTAATTTTATACAGTATTTGAGAACTTCAAAAAGATTTGTTACTTACAAATATGTTGGAACTTCTGGATTTGAAATCATTATTGACTCTAGATGGAATCGACCATCACCAAGACAAATGATAGTATGACCTTCTGGAACAGGTGGTGAAGTACAGCCAAGAACCTCTCCTGGAGATAAGGGCCGACACTGTGGGACACATACTGTGTATCCGCAACTTTTGAGATCACTGGCAATTTTTTGGAGTGAACTGACAAACTGTATAATTGACACTAAAGCTAATGGTACAGACAAGGGAAAAACTGCCTTAATAGTATCTGAAAGATGCACTATATCAAACTGAATATCAACAAACACATACAGGCATGGAATGGAGCCAGTTTGATCTATTGGGACAAGGCACGAATGACCATAGTGAACCATGAAGTCTGCACCAACGGCTCGTGCAGTAAAGTCATCAATACAACAACCTCCGTACGTTACATCTCCCATTATTGTAATTTCTGCTCCTGTCCATGACTCTATTATATCAGCAATTGTTGTAGCAAATAACAATAAACCCTCTGGAAATTGTAAAGCAACATGTTTTGACTCAGCTTGTCTGATTCTCCAAATAGTTTTAGGTATTTCAAAATTATAATTTTGGGGCAAAATGTCCATAGCTAGCTTAAGTTTTGGGTCATTTTCTATCTCAGTTGGAATGCCTTTCACAACATTTCGAGGTCGGAAAATTTTTCTTTCTTTCTTTGGAGCGATCACAATTTCCTTATTAACAGTGTCTGAGGATGTTGGCTCTTCCTCCATTATATCTCCAGATAGCTGGTCTCCTGAAACATAGAAAAATATATATATATGTATATATCATCATAAATACAGAGATTATTTACAATCGTAAATACAGAGATCTTGATCACTACTACAATTTTGTCCCCATTGCCTCAGACACACTTGGTGCCTGGGTTGAAGTGCTGCTAGTTTTTTAGCAGCAATGAAGTTCATTATACCTTTATGTGTAATGAGGTTTTAAATACAATAAAATGACAAAATACAAAAATATAAGGGGTGGTAGGAGAAGACAATATGTGAGTGTACGTGGGCTCCACAATGAAAAATGAATTTTGGAGAATTCATTTTACAATTACCCTCGACAGTGAAGAAAAACGTAAGAAATATTGAGAAAATTCATGTTATAATTATTAATCTCACCCTTTCGGTCATATTCAAGATAGATAGATATAGATTATATATATATATATATATATATATATATATATATATATATATATATATATATATATATATATATATATATATATATATATATATATATATATATATATATATGGTGCTATAGTATTATTAATTAATAGAAGAAGTACTGTACTACTGCAAATAACTCATAATTATATTCAGTAGTATTTATTAATAGTACTATCGCTAACCACCTTTTTTTCAACAATTGTGTCAGAAAAGTTTTACGAAGGGTTTGGTATATTACTAAGGGTTTGAGATATATATTGCACACTGTACACTGTATTACCATATTTTCTACACTGACATATATGTTCTTTATTTTAAAATATTCTTATTCTTACTCTAAGACTAAGCTAAGGTGAAATCCTGCAATGATGATGTTGGGTGGGCTCTTTTACACCAAGGATGTGGCATAGAGCTTAATTGTTAAGGCACAGTTGGAGAGTCGAGGCACAGCTGCAGAGTCGAGGCACAGTTGGAGAGACGAGGTACAGCTGGAAAGTTGAGGCACAGGTAGAGGTGAGGGAACTGTGACCCAGGTAGGGGGGTTGTTGTTGTTAATGAGTCAGGGTCAACAACAGCACGTGGAGAGGTTGTGGGAACAGCTGGGAGGTTGAAAACATCAGTCGCTCGCTTGTAACGCAGCCCTTGGCAACGTTTTCTTTGGTTGGCACCGTAGGGTTAAACTATATTATATTTTACATGAATTTACCTAAACACCATCATCCATTCAGCGGCCACAACGAGGATATGAAGCCAGCAAAGAGTTTGCCAAACAATCTATCTTTAAACGAGTTGAGTATAATTTTGGATTGCCTATCAGCAACTTAATAACCAAGAACTTCAACAATACCATGTAGATCTCAGACAAAGTGAAATCTTCAATAGCAGTTCTATCTATCATCATACTATTATGCAAGAAGAGCTACACATTTATAGATCATCCAATGCAATCAGCAGACATCTAGAAGTTACTACTGCTCGGCTTAGACTCGGTTACAAGTATCTCTGGGAATTTTCATTACATGCTGATGACCAAATGTAAACTGTGACAAAATTATTCACACACCCTCCGTCACTATGTGATGGAGTGCGAAAAGATACGTGAATTCATAAACAATACTTTAACATAATATTTAGGAAATATGTAAATATACAATTCAAGTGATATACTACCAGGAATTTTAACCAAATATCCCTAGTTTGCTAACTGTAGGTGGTAATTGTGGGTGATTTTAAACTTTTCATCGCTGCCCACTAGATAGGAAGGTGGGTGCATAATGAACATACAGTTACGACACAAGCTCATCACATGTGTAAGTTGCTTAGCTTATATTTTGTAATTAGATGCATGTTAGTGGCTTTGCAAGAATGTAAGAACACCAATGTCATGTACTCTCAAAAACCCAATTTACCTTCTGTATATAAATAAATAAATAAAAGATATAAATAAACTAAAATAAATAAATCCGATAATACTTCTGGTCGTTCTAGAACCCGTTGTTGATATAACAATCAGCATTACCTGGATTCACTAGTGGTCCAGTGGTCCACTATTTCTTTCCTGACCTCGACGAGGACAGGAAGCTGGCGACTTGTCAGAGGTCCCTCCATTTGTCTTGGCGTTTGCGACTTCGGTGCATAGGCGATTCCATGGGATTATTACCCCCTATGAGTGAAAACAACAACTCCTTGTATGTCCTACATTGTGGCGTGTTGAGCTCGAAGCTGTTGAACATTGTGTGAGTTGCATTGAACCTTTTATAGAGGTGGGCTGGACTAATATATTTTAATTTATTCAGCGTTTTGAAGTTTGGATGAGATAAGCCTTGTCATGTCTGGTTTGTAACGTTGGCCTTCAATCGTTCCAAGTATGAGAGTTGACTTAGTTCTCGGGTGAGTATTTATCTCTTATAACGCTTTGCGTATTAGTGTCTGTATTTAATATTATTTTTTATTGTGCCTATTAATCAAGCACTGCATAATGTTCTTACGTGTTTTTGTAGTAAAGTGAATGATTATTATTATTTTAATGGTTCAAACTTTTCTGATTAGACTTGTCAATTGGTAAGAATTACGGTGCCTATACCCATGCTTCACTCTACTACGGTATAGTGCCTGGATGTCCCCCTGCGTGCTCCAGCACCGTTGGCATCACCGTTAACGGCAGCCTGTAGGCTCTAATTGCTATTATTGGTTACCAATATAGCTGATGATGAGGATGGTGTCCATCTGTCACCAGATGGACACCATCCATCTGTCAGTTGTGTTGGACCGCTCTGCAAACACTACTCAAGCTAGGCCAACTCAAACATTATATGGTTATCACAATTAATTATATGTTTATCGCAGTTAAAAATATATAAATGAAATGAAGTGATATTTGGTTATGACACAACTTTTCATTTTCTCAAATATTAACCCAGACACATTATATATTGAACTAAAAAACACTGGTGAGGGAGTGGGCACTGTGGCCCCAGGGAGTCAGCTGACACAGGTGAGGGAGTGGGCACTGTGCCACGAGGGAGTCAGCTGGGGTTCGGGTGGACCAGCCAGGGGGTGACTCGGTACAATAAGACATAACCGTACACACAACGGATCCCTTAGTTCCATTTCCGCTGTGGGAAGCGGGCGGTGAACCCCTCCCAGCCGTCACCCGCTCTCACTATCCTCTCTCTCTCACAAGTTGTGCAATAATAATAATGAATATAATTGTTGTAATAATAATAATAATTCGATAAGCGTAATGAATATATTCATGTGGTCCATTCCAACCTGTTATCCTTATTTTTATGTACTTGATTTTACATATACTTAATTACTTATGTAACTCCTTAAGTACTTATGTACTTAAGTAATTATAAGCTTCCATACAAATACCGTAAATGTCCCGGTTCACGATAAAAGAAAATTCACCTTGATGGGTACAATTTCGACGTCTATTTTCTGTACTTTCCATGAAGCAGACTTATTACACTGGTGAGAGGGTTAACAGCAGTTAAGTACATCGTATTCTCTCAGGTCATGCACATGAGCTAATCCCCTCGTGTAGCGTGTCTCTCTCAGTTTCCTGGAAGTGTGTACGTCACTCATGCAGATCTGAACACTCTGAACATAAGAACAAAGGTAACTGCAGAAGGCCTATTGGCCCATACGAGGCAGCTCTGAAACAGCTTATCCCCTCCTTTTCTCCGCATGAAACGAATAGATACTCTAGTGTTAATGTCACGGATCTTATCATACACACTGTAAATTTAATTTCATTCTCATTATTTTAATCATTACAATTCTTTGACATCCAAGAAGCCTCGTTCTGTATCAGCTATCCTCATATACCTGATCAACCAGGCTGTGACTCATACGTCAGGCTGCGAGCAGCCGCATCCAACAGCCTGGTTGATCAGTCAGGCAACCAGGAGGCCTGGTCGACGACCGGGCCGCGGGGACGCTAAGCCCCGGAAGCACCTCAAGGTAACCTCAAGGTAGGTAAGGTAGCCTCGTGAGGCTATGAGGCTTTCCTCATAGCCTCGTTCTGTATCAGCTCTATTTTTTTAAATTCTGCCTTGCCCTGTGTAAGACAAAACGGGTGCTGTGTAGTCTATCAGGGACCGAACAGTGCTTATATATAACATCCGCAAGATAGGTACCCCAACACCTGCACCAGAAAAAGTCAGTGCTTTTGGAGGATGCAGACTAATTAGTATGTGCTGTCATAGTTAAAATGTCTTATTAAGATTCTATTGGTGTTTAAGGTGATTAATATTTGTATACTGTGTGGATTCATGAGCCCCTTGATTGATGAGCCATTGTCAAAGTTTTTTTTGGGGTACATTGCGTGTTAGTGGCTTCGCAAGAATGTTACAATATCACTAATATAATCTCACCAACCCATTGTACCATCTAGTAAATAAATTATTATTATTATGTTTCACATGTTTTACCTAAATAAGGTTGGAGAAATCCCATGTTTAACTGAAAGCTGACAGGGGAAGACTTAAGCTTTTTAAATACATAGGAAAGAAATCTTTGTTGAAGGCGGTGGGTGTGAGTGGGCGGGCGGGCGTGAAAGATATAGACTAGCAGCGACGGTAGACATTCTCCCAAGGGAGTAGTTTCCATCTCGTAAATGTGAGAGAGGCATCTTTGACATCAGATCAGGTCAGAGACGGGAGGTGCAGAAATCAGCGGCCGATTACCCCTCCTACCCGTCCCCCTCCTCACCCCAGGGACAGACGAGTCCCCCCGGCGAAAGACCATGATAAATATTTGTGTTCTGTATGGGTTTGTGAGCCCTGGTTGATGCCTGGTTGGTTGATGGGGTTCTGGAAGTTGTTCTACTCCCCAAGCCCGGCCCGAGGCCAGGCTTGACTTGTGAGTTTGGTCCACTAGGCTGTTGCTTGGAGCGGCCCACATACCCACCACAGCCCCTTGAGAGACCTTGAATAGCTGAGGGGAGAAATAGCCTAAGCTTCTCTATCCTTTTGAGATGTATTTCATTTTCTCAATAAATCTACTTGAACTTGAAGGTATCTTTTGGGCGATAGGTCACGGGGGCAGGTGGGCACAATTGGGTCCTCGTTACCCAGGCGCCGGCATAAGTTTCGGCTGGCTGGAGACGACGATAATTACCTTTAGGGGTCATACGGGATCCCCGGAAAGGATACAAGTCGTAGCGTAAGGATTAAGGAAGCAGGGAGTGCTACCTGCGGGCCTTACGGGGGCGGTGCTGGCAAATGTTTACCTGGCGGGGGAACACATGATGACTTTTTAATGACGGAGGAGAACAAATACTTATATGTCCCTTTCACCAGGTCTTTATGGGATGTTTATTTCCATGGATTGATTTGATTGATTGATGAAGATTAAGTCACCAAAAAGGTGGCACGGGCATGAATAGCCCGTAAGTGGTGGCCCTTTTGAGCCATTACCAGTAGCAAGAGCTGATACTGGAGATCTGTGGAGGTGCAACTGCACCCTGCGTGACGGGAGATGTCTCCCGTATTTCAATGGAAGTGTGGATGACAATTTATACCTATATGTCATTTGACTACATAAAATCTTTGTTGATAATAATAATAAAAACAAAAACAAAATAATATTAATTAATAATAATAATCATTAATTAATAATAATACTCACTAATTAATAATAATAATCATATTAATTAATAATCCCCAGAACTGGGGCAGAAAATAAAGAGCTCTTTCAAGATGCGACATTAGAGAAATATAGGGAGGAGATTGCCAAGCTATTTACTATATAGGACACTGAAGGAAACGATTTTGGAACTTTGAAGGAAAAGGAAATATTGCCAATAGCATAGAAAGTTAGAACTGAACACGACCTGAATGACAAATACATATATATAACAATAATGTATTTTTATTAACAATAATAATAATCACAAGTGATTCAACAAGAGGCTCACAACAGTCACTATACAAGGCACTTTACATCTATGGTGAGTCACACAGTTACTAGTCTTGCTCCACACCCACCCAAGTGGGCGGCAGCTTTACAGTCATGTGCATGCATTACCTACAGTAAGCAATTGTTGAATACCTCGCTAAGATTTCTGGCAGTATGTCGTTATGAATAAAGAACTCGATATATATATATATATATATATATATATATATATATATATATATATATATATATATATATATATATATATATATATATATATATAAAATGAACACACTGTACTGAACGGGGGTGATAATAGCTTGAGCTACCTTCCAGGTAGCGTCCAGCGTAGGATGACAAGGCTAATCCCCCCAAGTTAGAAACCTGTCATAAAAAGATTGACAAAGCTTAAGCTACATTCCCTGGAAAGGTTGAAGAATCAGGGGTGACATGATTGTACAAGTCGATGAATAGACATAACAAAGGGGATATTAATATTATTGGGTGGGTGGGAGCTGCCTCGTATGGGCCAATAGGCCTTCGACTGCAGTTACCTTCATTCTTATGTTCTTATCTTTCCCATCATTTATCAATCTGTAAATTTCTAGATAACTTTCTCCCCTTAATGAAGATCTGTGGAACCAGCTGTAGCTTTTGGGATGAAGTATTAATGGCAATTAAGGTTGGGAAATCTATTGCCCCTGGGGAGGATTACCTTGCCTTGCGGTTACTTTTTCTTTCGAAGATTCCTAGGATCAGCGTCCCCAGGGGCCCGGTCTCTGACCAAGCCTCCTGCGGTAAGTGGTCTAGTCAACCAGCAGGCTGTTGGACATGGCTGTGATTTGTACACATTACATTATAAAAGCATAAATAATTATCATTGAGTTTCTTAATATTAATAGCTCAACTTACTTTTAAATTAGCCCAAAAAAATCGCAAGTAGCGAAATAAAAAATTTGGGAGCGCGGAGCTTTCGAAAGTCGCCCAATTCTCTACTTGTAGCCCAATCTGGCACCCCTGAGGCCAAATTCACGAAGGAGTTACGCAAGTACTTACGAACGTGTACATCTTTTCTCAATCTTTGACGGCTTTGGTTACATTTATTCAACAGTTTACAAGCATGAAAACTTGCCAATCAACAGTTGTTATTGTTATAAACAGCTTCCTGGTGCTTCGGAGCTCATGAACTGTTTAATAATTGTAAACAGAGCAGCCAAAGATTGAGAAAAGATGTACAGGTCCGTAAGTGTTTGCGTAAGTGCTTTCGTGAATCTGGCACCCGCCGCGACCCAAGCTAGACAGTTCCACCCCTAGCCGCTAGAGGTCACAAGGTGGTCAGCGCGCACTTTGCCTTCCCTGACGACCCCGACAGTTCAACACCAACTCGCAACCCACGCACGTCACCAAATGGATCCTAGTCCCAGTACATGCAGCCAGTGTGGGAAAATTTACTACACCATTGGTAAGTACACTCCCCGACCTGCATTTTTGTTTTTGTATAATATATGCGTTTATATTTTTGTTTTTTAATTTTTTGTTACAAGTTTATAGGGAAAAATATATTTACTTGCAGGTAATATGGACACAACGTGCCTAGAGTGTGTTTTACAGTCGTGGGAGAGTGAGTCAGACTGTGAACCTCCACCCAGCAGGAGACGACGTACTCATAACAGTCAGTTTATATTTGTAATTATTATTATTATTATTATTATTATTATTATTATTATTATATTGTTTCATAAAAAGCCCTTTCCCTGCAATTATATATATATATATATATATATATATATATATATATATATATATATATATATATATATATATATATATATATATATATATATATATATATATATATATACATATATATATATATATATATATATATATATATATATATATATATATATATATATATATATATATATATATTAGTATATTTTGGTAGCAGTCTTTCCTGTAGACATATATTATTAAATATGACCGAAAAAGTAAGATTAATAATTCTAACACGAATTTTCTCGATCTTTCGTACATTTCTTTTCACTGTTGGTGGTAATTCAAAAATCAATTCTCCAAAATTCATTTTTTATTTCTAGTCTGACGCGACACTTGAGCGCGTTTCGTAAAACTTATTACATTTTCAAATACTTTAGTTTACACATACACAACTGAATAGAACTTACACATCTCCGATTTGTTTATATCTATATTTGAGTGAGGTGGATGGGGTGAGGTGGTATTAATAGGGTATTAAATTCATCAACACAAGACAGAACACGAAACAATGGGTATTGAATGGAAGTGATTGTAGAAAGCCTATTGGTCCATATTTCTTGATGCTTCTATATTGGAGCGGAGTCTTGAGGTGGGTAGAATATAGTTGTGCATTAATTGGCTGTTGATTGCTGGTGTTGACTTCTTAATGTGTAGTGCCTCGCAAACGTCAAGCCGCCTGCTATCGCTGTATCTATCGATGATTTCTGTGTTGTTTACTAGGATTTCTCTGGCGATGGTTTGGTTGTGGGAAGAGATTATATGTTCCTTAATGGAGCCCTGTTGCTTATAGCCCTGTAGCCCTGTCTGCCCGAAACGCTTTGCGTAATAGTGGCTTTAGGCATTGTATGTACTAACTCTATCTATAAAGCCAACAAACTTTGTAAAATCTCTTTATGTATGTACCTTACCTAAATAAAAATTATTATTATTATTATTATTATTATTATTATTATTATTATTATTATTATTATTATTATTATTATTATTATTATTATTATGCATCGTTAAACGCCTAGAAAGAGATGTTGTTGTCTTGCCTATATACTGGGTTTTTTGGAGCTTACAGTCCCCAAGAGGGCATTTGAAGGCATAGACGACGTTGGTCTCTTTTAAAGCGTTCTGCTTTGTGTCTGGAGAGTTTCTCATGAGTAGGCTGGCCGTTTTTCTGGTTTTATAGTAAATCGTCAGTTGTATCCTCTGATTTTTGTCTGTAGGGATAACGTTTCTATTAACAATATCTTTCAGGACCCTTTCCTCCGTTTTATGAGCTGTGGAAAAGAAGTTCCTGTAAAATAGTCTAATAGGGGGTATAGGTGTTGTGTTAGTTGTCTCTTCAGAGGTTGCATGGCGTTTCACTTTCCTTTTTATGATGTCTTCAACGAAACCATTGGAGAAGCCGTTGTTGACTAGGACCTGCCTTACCCTACAGAGTTCTTCGTCGACTTGCTTCCATTCTGAGCTGTGGCTGAGAGCACGGTCGACATATGCGTTAACAACACTCTTCTTGCACTTATCTGGGCAGTCGCTTTTGGCATTTAGGCACATTCCTATGTTCGTTTCCTTAGTGTAGACTGCAGTGTGGAAACCTCCGCTCTTTTCCATGACTGTTACATCTAGAAAGGGCAGCTTCCCATCCTTTTCCATCTCGTAAGTGAAACGCGGCACGGAACTCTGCTCAAATGCCTCCTTCAGCTCCTGCAGATGTCTGACATCAGGTACCTGTGTAAAAATGTCGTCAACATACCTGCAGTATATGGCCGGTTTCAAGTTCATGTCGACTAAGACTTTTTGCTCGATGGAGCAAAAAGCCTCACCCCATCCACCTCACTCAAATATAGATATAAACAAATCGGAGATGTGTAAGTTCTATTCAGTTGTGTATGTGTAAAATAAAGTCTTTGAAAATGTAATAAGTTTTACGAAACGCGCTCAAGTGTCGCGTCAGACTAGAAATAAAAAATGAATTTTGGAGAATTGATTTTTGAATTACCACCAACAGTGAAAAGAAATGTACGAAAGATCGAGGAAATTCGTGTTAGAATTA